GTGCAAATCAGGAAGGAAGTAACAGGCCTGCCAGAGCTGTCTGGACAATGCTCGTAGTCCTATGATTTAGTTCTAAGTGGTCCTGCCAGGAGCAGGGCTTGGTATTGGATTCAATGGTCCTTATGGGTCCCCTCCAGCTTGAGTTATTCTACTTGTGATTCTGTGAACTTTTGTTTCCTTAAATTTAGCTCTTCATAATGCTTTTCTTATTTAACTTATTCTGACCTGTATTATTCAACTCCGCTATGCCATTAATCCCACTAGACCCAATGTGTGCAGAGTGCAGCAGGGCTGTGCTGTTCCAGGATTTGTTTGGTCAGGATTCATCCCCGTGCATTCTGCTACTTATGGGATAGCAGCATCCAGACGTGCTAGTGCCTGTCACTCCTGTCCTCAGCCACAGTCATGTCCCAAGCTCATTTCACCCAAAAGCCTGATAGAGACCTCATAAAACATGAAGCAATAGGAAGTTGCTGCCATCCACAGCTTTTATTCCCAGTGGACAGGTCACTGCAATCCTGTGCCTCAGTTTCATGCTTTCCAGGGTGAGGTAGTGTATGGAGAACAAACCTATTCTGGTCTGGGCTGTCACACATACACAGGTGACACCTAAATTGTGGCAAATGGTGGATTATACTTTCAGTCACAGACCAATTAGTTTTATTTGTCAGCAAATAGATCCAGGTGGGTAAGTGGAGAGGCGCTCTCAGAAGTTTTCTTGTGTCTCCCCAGTTACTGTCAGCACTTACTCTGTGCTTGTACCAGAGTTGAGCAGAACAGGAGATGCTGTTGGACCCCACCATTACCCCCCAGGTTAATTGTACAGCATCCCTGTTGCTCCACTGTGATCACAACCTGCTGTATTATTTTCCTCTTGTGTTGATGCTAAACAGAATCAGGAACACAAACACTGTGCAGGGAAAGCATTTGGCACTGTACTCAATTCTAGAGGAAGCATTGCTTTCACCCAGCAGCTTGCCCGAGTGCAGCTGTGCGCTGTGGTCACACCAAGCAGGTGAGCTGTGATCTATTTACCACCTGCTGACTTAACAGCACCAACTTCTTATTCACATGTACAGGATAATCCTGTTCCAGGAGCTGCACACACCAGTAAAAAAATTACATAAGTAATTCCCCCTACAACTCCACCTACATGACAGCACAGGCTGCATCTTCCAGTCACCTCCAATCCTGGTGTCACCTGAGATCTTTCCCCCCACTATTTTCAGTATTTTGGACTGAAATCACTGTACTCAGTTCTTACCCAAAGGTAAAACATTGGAGTAACACTTAAGCTTTTGCTTTTAAAATGAGTAAAAAAGAGCATTGTAGATACTCTAAATTAGACAAGCCTGCAGAACTCGCCTTCTGTGAATAAGAGGAAAAGGATATTGCCCTCGAGTCAGAGAATCACACAGATTCAAGCCCAAAATTTGAGTAGGAGTACAAGCTGTTGTGAAGTACATCCTATGTCATGCATGAGCTATAGACATCTTCCTATGGTCAGTATTTTTTCAGTGGTACGGATCATACCAGCTGCTGTGCTCCATTCCTTCCTGTACAGAAACACACCTATGTGCATCCAACTTAGCCCTGGCGGTGACAGACATTGCTAAAAGGGCAGAAGTTTATGAGCCACTTCAGAGCAGCTTATCTATTGCCATTTTTTAATTGGATTATGGAACAGCTGAAACTTCCCCTCTGGTATCTACACACACATTTGGCAAAATAATACTGTGTGAAGAAGCCATGAGAGTTAAGAGCCTGCATTTTGCCATTTGATCCTTTCTACCTAACCACAAAAGAAAAGGGGGAAAAGGGCTGATCACGGTGTGACAGAGATTGTTATGATTCCAAGCACACATAGTTAAAATGCCTGAACTGCTGCCACTATACACAGCAATGTGTGTTAGCTTTAGTTAGCTTTTTGGTTTGTGTTAGTTTTGCTTCTCACCTTTCAAAGTACCATGTTCCTGTTCACCTTAAACAGCCCTTACAAAGCGCCAAGGACACAGCAAAGAGCTGCTGATGGTGTAGCATGAACTCTACCCTCAACCACAACTTTATGATGCATCTTTAACTGTCATAACATCTGCACCACCTTTCAAGGACATTCTGAACAGCAGTTCAGCTTAATTGTTGGGATTTCCTGAGCCAAGTTCCTTCTTTCCCAGCTTTTGTTCTTTGATGGTATGAAATTGCTTTGTGGACGTTACAGTGCCAACCTGAACTAGACTCAAGTAGGAATCGGAAATAGTTCAAGTTATTCCATGTGTGAATAATAAATCAAAGAATCATGTTTTAAATGCTCATCCCCACTGCTCATCCAAAGGCAGTTACAATCTGGGTTAGGGACAGAGTAATCTCCCAGCTGTAAATGGACTCTAAACCCACAAAATGTAGAGGTAGAAATGTTATAGTAGAAAAAAGCAGTGTCACCTACTCCAGCCACTCAGCTCTACTCCAAGCATGATATTGCAAAGTGACACTTTAGTGTTAATCAAAGAAGTTGTGGTCTTCCTTACAGCAAGACAACATACTGTTCCATGCTCTTCATGATGTAGAATCAAATAAAAAGTGAATTGAACAATGGTTGTGGATGTTCCATCCCTGGAAGTGTCCAAGATCAGGTTGGATGGGGATGGAAGATGCCCCTGCCCATAGCAGGGGAGTGGAACAAGATGATCTTTAAAGTCCCTCCAACTCAAACCAGTTTGTGGTTCTAAGATTAAAGGATGAAACTTCATTTATGTCAAAAATCAAAATACAAGATGGGATGCTTTTCCAAATACCAGAAAAGGCCGGGACCAGACTGCAAATACAGCCCCAGTTTCTAAGTCTTTTTTGTTTGTTTGTTTTTGTTTGGTTGGTTTTTTGTTTGTTTGTTTTTTACAGTAGTGTTGGTTTCTCCTTCACAATTTGCTACAGGACACTAGGGTTTTGTCAATCTTGCCCCCCCATATTTTATGAGAAGGCATGTTTCTCTTTTGTCTTTTTAAGGACAAACTTACGTTGATGCAAAAAATTAGAAATAAAAAAAAAAGTCAGGTAGCCCAGCCCTGAAGCATGTTCCCAGAAAGCTGGCTCCAGGATCAGGTTAAAAACTGAGATATGAGCAACTCCAGATGGTTTTGTCCTTGAGTATTGCTACTGCTGCAGACAAAGCAAAAAACAGCCAGCATACAAGTCTGCTAGTCTTTTACCATTCTATGAAATTTATCAAAATCCAGTTTTAAAACCCAAAAGAGATGTCAGGAATAATACCACTTGTGCTCACACACATTAGCCCCAGAGCGTTTCACTCCTACAAAAAAACTGTGTTGACAGAGCTGGAATGCTGAGGGTGTTTAGGTTTTGCTGGCAAATTCTCTATAGCGTTTTGACAAGCCTTTCACTTAACTGTGCTGGCTCAGGATATGGCACTACCAAAATCCTACTGGCTTTCCAGAGGAAACACATCCAAAAGGACATAAGTCATGCCAAGGAACCCCTGCTTCCTTTGCACACTAAGGGGCTGTTTGTCTTTTGCATGGCCAAGGAAGACAGTGAATGTGGTTCCAGTAACACAATACTGATATTTAAAGGAGTTTCAGGCAAGCTGGTTAAATCCAATCCAGTCCCTCCCTGCAATTCATGCATAAAGAGGACTTCAATCAAACATGACCATTGTCACAGCAACCTCATCTCAGAAAGCTGAGTGTGGTTGTTAAGAGCCATCGTTCTGCAGTGCTGAATAAGGCTGGGGTGCTCACAGCCACTCCAAGGCCAAGATATCCTCAGGTCTACACTGGGGGTCAGTTTTAGAAACAAAGGTTTACTTGTATATGTGCGTGCAAAAAAAAAGTAATTGTCAACATCTTGTTACCACAGAGAGAGATACTGGAAATACACACATGTATCTTTCAATCTGCTGAGGTCTGAGCTCAATGCTTCTTTTGAGGAGTGCGGTGTGTATTTTACTAGAGGAACAGTTTTCCATGAAGCTCTGTTTCACACAGAGGAGCAGTTCTCCTTCAAGTCTGACCTACTCCATGATCAGCGTAAGTAAAACCAAGGCAGCTTAATACTTGTAGGTTTAAGGGAGGCAAATACTTCCTCAAGTGTAGCTTACGTTGTAAGTCTGCATTAACCTTCTTCTCACAGTATGAATTCTGCAGGAAACCCCTGGTACTCCCCTCCTGTTTGAAATCCAAAGCCAGAGGTACCACCTGCAGTGATCAAGACTGCAAAACAATTTTTCTAGTCATTAAGCTAAAAATGCACCATCTTCACTAAAACAGCTTCAATTTAAAACAAAATTTCCTTATCACAAATTAATCCCCCAGTCATGCAGGCAACACTGCAGTACCAAGTACTCAGAAGTGTTGGTTTAGCCATGCCAGAATTATGTCAGGCTCCATAGTTGTATTAACAATCCTAGGGAAGCTCAGTCTGGCAGCTCAAGTCCAGTTGTTTTTTTTCCATTCTTGAGATAAAAACAGCACGGAGAAGTGTATACCATGCAAAAGCAACAGTAACCCGACCTTATGGCAACACTAGGCATGGATTCACTTCAGGTTCCAGGAATGTGACTGCCCTCCTCCATTCTGGCGCTAGTATGGATACTCACCTGCAAGAAAGTCCAGCTTTCTAGAGACAATTGAAAAAGGCAAGAAACTGAATCTTAAGGTAATTTTTTGTATCACCAAGCAATTCCAGGAGAGAAAAATGGGCATCAAGTCAGACTTCACATGTGCCTCATGCCTGACCCAATTCCTCTGGGCAGATGTGTGAATTGGAACCAGAGATGCAGCTGTCACACCCAGCCACATCTGCACAAAGGAGCAGGTGACTAACTGGGACAGAAGGAGCTCATGGTGGTCTCAAGCACAAGGTCAAGGGCATTTCAAGAGCTACCAAGTCTCTCACTAAACTAGTTTCTTCACAACAGCAAAATAAATTGTGACTTCCCCAGCACGAGGCAGAACAAGAATCCCATTACACTGCAATGAACACAAGAGTTTGAGTCACCAATTTAATTTTATACAAGTCAAACTACACGTTGTATAAAGAGTACAAGGCAGTTCTAATGTTTGCTACTGCATCTTACAAAAATCATTGTAGCTATAAAGGGGAATTTTTGGGATCAGTCCTATTCCACAATTTAAGTGAATTGGCAACTGTGGTTTAGCAAAGCTTTTGTTAAAACTAGAACTCTAGCTCCAAGAGATTACATTTCCAATAAAGTTCAGACCTACACACAAGAGGATTATAGTTCTAGTCTGAAGCAAAACGTTAATGTCAGTGAGTCAAAGGGGTGGGAAGACAGATTTCTTTACTTGGGTTTCATATCCAATAGAGATTTAGAGGCTGACAAACCATACAACACACTAGTGACTTGGACCACAGCCAAGAAACACCTCTGTGTATGACAACAATGACACTTGATATTCAAGCAAAAAACACCAGAAAGCTTTAATTCTTTCAAGTCTGAAATGAAGGGGTTTTCAGCAATACTGTAGGATACAGGTTCCAGAGTACCCTTATTACTTTTAATACAGTCACAGTATGGGGGGAATGTTCTTTTGGCAAGTTAAGGTACAACATAAATCCTCCAACTTGAGTTTATTGCTGGTCTAAAATCTTCCTACTACTGTTACTGGTTTATATAATTTGCGGTCTGTTTCCAAAATTATGATAAACCAGAGAACTGTGTGACCTGCCCAGCAAGGCAATCCTGCCTTTGGCAGCACTCTGAAACCTATGAAGCTAATGAAACCCATAGCTCTAATGTAATGAAAAAAAAAAAAAGAAAAAAAGGATACTTTCAAAAGAGCCCAGATTTTAGCCTGTTTATATTCAGTTTATTTTTAATATAAAAACCACTTTGCATTTAAGAGTACTCAAGTTACTCCTGCAGAATTGCTATAAAATCAAACTTTCAGCTGAATTTCTACAAAAGGGGGACTTTCCCTGCTTTGTACCACCATCCCATCTCATATTGCCAAATTTGGGATACAAATTAAACCTTTATGCCTCATGACTTAATTCTTAGGCCATTCAATCCTGTAAGAGAAAAAAACAGCCTCTGAAGTACTAACATAACACTAATGGCCTGACAGGTAGGAAAATGTTCCATAATAGTGTGCAAGATGAGAGTTCTAGTTCTAATCCCTTGAACTAGATCTTGTTCGTGAGCGAGACTTTGAACGGGACCTAGAGCGGGACCTGGACGCAGCTCTTTTGGGTGGTGACTCAGAACGAGCCTTGGCAGATGGCTGCTGCTGCGGAGAATTGGAACGAGACCTGCTCCTTGACCTGGACTTAGACTTAGCATCGCCTTTACCATTTTCTTTGGGAGAGCGAGACCTGGACCTCGATCTGGACCGAGACTTCTCAGACTTCTCCTTGGATCTGCTGTGAGAGCGTGAACCCCTGTCAGACTTGGGTTTCGATTTGCTCTTTGATCTGGACTTCCTGCTTTTGGATCTGGAACGTGAGCGGTCTTTGCTTCGTGACCTGGATTTAGATCTTTTAAAGAGAGACAGTTTATTCTGTGTGACCTGAAGTGTACTTACAGTGCCTGTAAATATCTGTCAGTGAGCAGCAGTCCCTGTACTGACAGTGTTAACACTGTGGCACTTACCGCGAACGGCTTTTGGAGACACTACGGGACCTGCTGCGGCTGCTCCGACTTCTCCGACTTCTGCTTCTAGATCGTCTCCTGGACCGTGACCTACAAACATTCAAAATTTATTTTGCCCCTTTTTCTGTGCCTCGTGTGCCCTGCATCATCTAGAAGAGTCATAGTGTGGCTTGGGATGCAAGGGACCTCAAAGATCATCTGGTTCCAACCCCTGGCCATGGGCAGGGACCCCTTCCACTAAGACCAGATGCTAAAGCACCATCCAACACTTCCAGGGATAGGGCAGCCACAGCTTCTCTGGGCAACCTGTGCCAGTGCCTCACCACCCTCACAGGGAAGAATCTCTTCCCACATTTATCTAATGCATTACGCTACCTGGTAGCATAATCTAACAGAGAAAAGCTGCTACAGAACTTCTCAAGAGCAAGGATGGCCACACCAATACACACTATTAACCCACCCAGACTCAATGTACCATCAGTTAATCATATCTGAGGTTTCCCATGTGAAAAAACTGCTCAAACCTGGCTTTGCTGTATTGCATAAAATAATTCCTTCTACCTTCTCAGGCCCCATCCTATTCCTAAACTATCAGCTGAAGATAACTATCGCATCAGCTGAAGATGACTACTGCAGGTAGGGTACCTATTCCCATTCTGAGTGTCTTGATCCAGTGACTGACATGTTTGGAGAGTTACCTTGACCTGCTGCCAGAGTAGGATCGCCTATGGCTTGAGCGTGGCTTGTCTTCAACGAGCCTGATCTTCCTGCCGTTTATCTCTGTGCCATCCAGTTTATCCAGGGCACGCTTCATGTCCGAGTATGACCGGAATTCAATCACTCCTTCATTCGTACGTTCTTTGTGAGCATCTGCATAGGTCACCTCCCCAGCTTGCCTCATGAAATCCTTCGGGGAGCAGAGGAACAGTTACAGAACACACCACAGGCTGAGGCTCTGCAAGCAGCACTTAGTGCATGCAAACATCCATGTACAAACAGTTTTCAATTACTTCTAATTCATTATCAATATCAACATTGCTATTAAAGGAAGCTATTGCTTTCTGCTTGTCACAACAGGCTCGAACATCAATACGTACTTTCAAATCCTGCCAACTACAGCGACTGGAAAGATTTTCAACAATCAGTCTGAACTCTGTACGAACGGGTGGTCCATATTTATCTCGTCCTGATTGTCTGCGACTGCTATATCCGCCACCACCCCCACCTTGATTGTACAAAGAAACAAAGTTAGATCGTCCCCTAGCATGACAAAAGGTCAATGTTCTGAAAAAGTTAGTTTAACAGTCATATTTACTGGAGTAGGACTTTATTTCTCTAAGCCTCCAACAAACTTTGCAATTTTGCCATAATCTACATTAATGGCAAATCAAACAGACTAAAATCCTACAAGTCTGTGCTCCTAAGATCTGTTAGAGAGTGACTGCTCCTTATTAGATTCACCTTGCTAAGTTTTATTTTACAGAACATTGTAAAATATAAAACTTAACTGATTACATGCATTTCTACATTTTACAAAAACGTTTACTAGTTACACTAAGTACTTACATCACAGTATGAGGTTTTTGGTGGTGGTTTGGCCACAAAACACGCAAGGTAACAGTCACCTAGTTCAGTTTAACCAGTTTTGTCTAACCCTTGGAATCCTCACCATCACCCTGCGTCTAATGGCAAAAGGCTGCTGTCGTCATGGCTTCCGGTAAGGTCAGCCAAAGGGTCATAGGGCAAGGGTCACACAATGTATGGAAAAGCCATGGCCAGGAAAGGCAGTCATCTTAGCCTCAGTGGACACAGCCTCAGCCCCACTGGTCACTTTTAAATTGAAACATCAAGGACTTGTTAAAAAGTTTGAATTGAACATGCAACAATTTTAAAACAACATACATTTGATTTTTTCTTAAAAAGACAGAACCCTCCCCCCCCCCCCAACACCACGCTTCCAGAAACCATTAAAAAAATCAACCTTAGTACTCTTTATTACAGTACTAGGTCGGTTAAACTCTACAGAGCTCACTCAAGCACCTTACATGAGTGAGCTGAGCATTGAAATATTTACAACACCCACCCCTTAGCACAACAGATTCCTGCTCCAAAACCTCCCCCCGCCCCTCCCATATACCCAACTGAAACATTCACATGAAAGTTCACAGCTGAGCGATTCTCCCCCAATTACGCAACCATATTTATATATTAACACTACTGATGCAACATCGCTGTAACATCTAAACGCTCCCAATACCGGAGCCTCCAAATCAACCGATCAAACCCTTTCTAGAAGGCCCCGATTTCGCGGCCAGAAGCGCTACGGGATACCAGAGCGCATCGCTGGTGCCGGGGAAAACGCTGCAGCCCTTGCGGTGCGCCGGGTACCCCCCGCTAGCGACCCCTCCAGCCCCGGGGCTCGGTCCCAGCCGAGCCTCCCTCGCCCCCGGCCCTGCCCCTGCCCGCCGCCGCCCCTCGCCCCGCGGGGAGGGACGGGCCCGGACTCACTGCGGCTGCTGTAGCTGTAGCCGTCCCTGTCGCGGCGGGGTCCGCGGGCGTGTTCCACGATCACCCGCTCCCCACACAGATCCTTCCCGTTCAGCTCGTACACGGCATCGTCGGCGTCGCGGGAGTCCTCGAACTCCACGAAGCCGTAGCTGGGGGTAGGACAAGGGCCCAGTCAGGTGGCGGCGGAGGAACGGTGACGCTGCCCCGGGTCGGTGTCGTGGCCCCCCCGCTCCCCCATCCCCGCCGCCATCTTGTGCCGGCGCCACGCGGCAGCGGCCGCGACATGGACGGGCTGGGCCCTGGGCTCTCGGGAGGGACGGACGGACGGTGCTCACCCGTTTTTGAGGTCGACCTCGAGCAGGCGGCCGTAGCCGCTGAAGAAGCGCTGGATGTCCTTCTCCCGGACATGGTAACTCAGGCGGCCTATGTAGACGCGCGGCATATCCGCGGCGGGGTGGGAGGGGGAGGAAGGGAGGGAAAGGAGAGGAACAGGAAGGGGAGAGGAAGAGAGAGAGAGAGAGGGAGAGGGAGGGAGCGAGCGAGCGCTGGCGGCGCGAGGGGCGAAGGCGCAGCGAACCCGCTCCCCTCGGCCGGGCCTGGCGCACCACAATGGCGCCCGCCGCCCGCCGCCGGTTTTATATGGGGGAGGCGGGGCCTGAGTGACGTCACCGCGCTAACGCGCTGCTGCGCGCGGGCGGCAGGCGGAGGGAACGCGCGTGCGCGCACTCGCGCGCTAGCGGTGCGGCCGCTGAGCGCTGCGCGGGCACGCGCGGGGATGCGGGCGGGGTCCCGTGGGCGCGCGAGACTCGCGGCCGGCTTTGCGCATGTGCGGGTCCTGCGCGCGCGTGCGCGCCCCCCTCCCCCCGGAAACGAAAGACGAATTCTGCCAAAGACTTGAAATGTAAAATAATCCATTTGTTTAAGTCATTTGTGTCTACTTTGAGATACCTGCAGGTTTTAGTGCCTGATCCCAAAGCTTCTCTTCCCACTACAGCTGCATTCTGTTATTTTCTGTTCCTGTTCTCCCCAAAGGGTAACAATTCTCTGGCTCAAATTCAAAAACCCTTGATATGGGGGTTTGGAATTGTCTGTGCTGGCACCTACGGAGCCGCATGTAAGACTCACTGGAAACAACCCAGTTAGTCATTCTTGCTAAACCATCCCGTGACTGGTGAAAACTGCAAACCTGTACTGAAGTTCAAGGATAAGGAGGAAAGCTCAGCCTGTTCTTTGGAGCTTCCCTGCAAGTGGATGCTCTTCAGGATCAGAGCCTTAAGGAACTGCCTTTCTCCAATGATCTGCCCTTCAGTGTTTTCCTCGCAGCCCATAAAAGCTGCTCTCCCATAGTCGATCATGCTCATTTCAACATCTGTGCCTCTAAGTATAAGGAATTCCTTTCCCCATTCCAACAAGGAAAAATAAGTTCTTCATGGCAAGGTCAAGTCCATGCAGTCTCTAAGCTCTCAGCCCACAGCTGATGTTTACATCACTGCCTTTTCTGGGGAGAACATCCCTGGAAGTGGATGACAACTAGCCTGTTCAGCTCAGGGCCATACTGAGCAGGAGTGAGCACAAGGCCTCTCTGGTGGAACATCTCAAAGCTCTTGGCATGTGGCAACAGAGTGAGATTTGCTGAGGCCACATGGAAAGGGACAGAGGATTCATATTAGTGTCTTACCATTTTGTTTTGTTTTTCTGTTTCTATCCTTGAGGAGGAATAAAGGATCTTCAAGGTGCCTCCTCACTGGGTGCCATATACCCCTCCAGTGCCTGCTCAAGCCATTTGCAAATCTTTTCTTCTCACACCCCTGCCCTTTTTTCACTGTTCGTCCCCCATAGTCAGTGATGTGTTTTTCACATTGTTTTCTTCTTTCTCTGTCCTTCTCTCACCTTGAGTTGCTTGGTGGCTGGGTTAGGACCAGCCTGGGGCCCAGAAAGAGAAGGCCATTTAGGGACTTCTCTGAGCAGCCTTGGCTGTAACTAAGATGGCCCCAGCCCTGTGCTGTCTTATGCCTTCTCTTATGGTCTGTTGGAAACCCTGGAATGCAAGAACTGGCTGTAAAACAGTGACACAGTGACCAGAGGTGAACCTCACCTCTCACACAGTCCAGGCAGGCTGGTAGAGGTTACTCAAAGCAGATGCAGATAAGATCAAATTATCTTCTCCATCCTTCCAGATCAGTGGTCCCAGGCCATTTCCCTGGCCTTTCTCTGTTGCATCCTATCATTTTTACACCCTTGACTTGGCAGTCCTGTTCCTGATACACATAAGCACACGTGGCAGAAGATTCAGCCTCTGAATCAGTAGCTTTCCTCACACCCAAAGGGACGTGTGTTCCTGACCCCTGAGACTCAGGATGAACCCTTGGGACCCAGGATAAGCCCCTCTGGTGCATTAGTTTTATGGCTTGATCCACCAAGTCAACTGGAGCTTTTTCCCTCTGAAGAGCGAAAGGCTCTGATCTCTTGGTACAAAGATTTGAATCTATAATTAATCATAATCTGTAACATATGAAGCAGAGCTCTGGTAGCCTTCTACTAGCCTTTTATTATTAGTCCAATAAAAGTATCACATATAATTTGTCTGTCTTATTGAGGACTAATATTTGGCTTGTGGTTATATCCTGTAATCTGCTGTCAGAGGAGCCCTCAGTGTGAAATTCATGTTCTTTCTCCAGCCATGCCAGCAGCAGGTATGGGCAGATATGAATGTCTTATGGCCATATCGATCATCATCGTTGGTCTACTCTGGTCTCCAATCGGGAGGTCTGGAGACACACTACCTGGTAACGCTGCTGCTTCTTTTGAGAACGCGCACAGGATCACTCTCGAGGAGTGTATTAGGGAGGGTTCGAGACATACTGAAACTTGAAAACCCAGACACCATTGGAACACAATAACGCAAATATTTATTACAAAAGGTAACAAAAAAGAAACGGGCACTCGGGAGAAGGGGAAAACTAAAGAGGAAAGTACGACACCCTACTCACCTAGGTGTCATTTATGAGATGATCTTACCCACTCCAAAGACTATAAAGCCCTCTACAGCAGCAGCGTTTGTCGGAGAGTTAGCAGGCTCCCACAACAGCAGGCGTCCCTGCTAAAGGCAACTTGATCCTTCGTGTAGAGCAAGTGAACACGAACCAAAAAACCTGTCTGCTTGTTATACAATCAATGAGGACCTCTGCTTGGGAAGGCGTGGCCAGCACTGCCCCACCAGAGGCTCTCAATCCCACCCTCTTAGTTATATAACTTCATCCCTTCAGTGCATGCGTGAGAATTTTGGAAATCCCCTAACGCATGCGCAGTCTGCTTCGGGGGTCTTTTCTAATTGAGTCGAGGGTCGAGCCTTCCTCCTCTCTTCCTCACCTTCTCCTTCAAATGCCCTTGGCAAACAGTGAACCAATAGTAGAACACCAATTAAAATGATTTATATAGAAGTTCTCCCTCCAAGGACGAATTCTCTGTTTTATCAGTGAACTTGGCAGGGAGACTATAAACTACTACTGGTGGCTGGGGCCAAACACAGACCAAAAAATATCAACATTCCCACTACAAAGAGAAAAGACAATGTAGAGAGAACCGTGTCTTGTTGATACCACCTAAGGAGTCCTTCTGCTGTGCCTTTGCAACTGGACCTGTCTATCTCACACTGGCCTTTTTAGCCACTAGTGCGCTTGTAGCAAGTGTGAGTAGAGTCCTTCCCAGATCTTCGTTCGCGAAACCCAGTCACGATGATGACGATGATGATGAAAACAGTCTAAATTATGCGTATCTTGAATTTGTTATGTCCCAGCTGTTTGTCGCAAGACTGGTGTCTCCAGAGGCTACTATCAAGTGTCTGACTGTTTCCGTTATGCTTCCCTCTCCCATCACTTTGTCCATATCACATCACACTCCGGTCACTGACTCCTGGGCTTTGGACCAAAATGGGACCCCTGACACATATGCAGAGAACTGCTAAACTGACTGTCACTGTCTGTGCATTAGTGGCTCGGATGGGACTTTTTTCCACTGTTTCTTTTGCAAAATGTGAGGGAATGTCCTCATATGCCTTGTAGGTCCCCTCTGGGCATAGTCTTTGAAGTGCCCAGTCCAGGACAGAAGCCAAGCATGGCTTCATGGGGGCTGTCCTGGCTCTCAGGCTCTTCCTCTCTCTCCTGCAAATGGATTCGTTCCCCCATGATACCTCAATTTGAGCAGGGGCTCCCAGCATGGGGCTGAGTGGATACAGATAGAGGTCATACATACAGGGAGAAATGGATATCCTTGGGCTGTGAAAGTCCTTATTCTTCTCACCAGTAGCACTGGATGAGGTTACGTGGACTGTTGCATCTGCTGCCTGGTCACAGACTCTGTATTTCAGGTGGAGATCCTGCCTGCTCCTGAGGAAGGTCAGAAGAGGAATGCCATCCAATCTGTGCCCAGAAATAGCAACAATTACACTCTGAACCCAAATTTCTCATATTATTCAATTTGAGGACTGTATAGAAGGGCTGTAATTTGAGCTTATCTTATGTGTTTTTGTAAAAATCAGTTGTTCTATGTACATGGAGGGTCTAGATCCAGCTGGCACATTGCTGTGTTAATAACATTGTGCTGATTTGGACTGGGATGGAGTTAATTTTCCTCCCAGTAGCTGGTATGGGGCTGCGTTTGGGATCTGTGCTGAAAAAGTCCTGATAACGCAGGGTTGTTTTAGTTCCTGATGAGCAGGGCTGACACAATCAGGGGCTGTTCTGCTCCTCACCAGCAAGGCGGCTGGCGGGGCACAAGCAGTTGGGGGGACACAGCTGGGACAGCTGACCCCAGGGATATATTCCAGACCATAATGGAGTCATTCTCACATGTAAAGGTGGGGAAGAAGGAAGAGGGGGGGATGTTTGGAGTGATGATGTTTGTTTGCTCAAGTCACTGTTACTGTGATGGAGCCCAGCTGTCCTGGGTATAGCTGAGCACCTGCCTGCCATGGGAAGAGGGGAATGAATTCTTTAGTTTGCTTTGCCTGTGTGTGCAGCAGTCCACAACACTCCTTTTTGGTACACAGTGTGGGGCTCAAAGGGTTCAAGACAACAACAAATTTGATTGGAGTGTGCCAGATGGAATTTATAGCTGTTAGTTCTGTTTAGCTATTAATTGATAGCTCCAGTGCTTGCCATGGGGCTTAACTCTGTCGATTGAAGCCTGGTTCTTGTTAGTGGCAGCTTTTGGCTTTCCCTACTCACTGTGGTGCTGATCACCCCTCTGTGCTGTGTCCGGGAACACCCTGGTAACAGCCACGGTGATGGGGCTGGACTGCGGGTGGCCAGGGCACTACCCATGTGCTGTGTCTGTCCTGCTGCACTAGACAGGCTGGGACTCCAGTGTGAGCTCCAGCTGAAGGGACTGGGAGCTGGGGATGAGTCCACATGGGAGCAGGACACCCTGAAGCATCTGTGGCCATAGATAAGTCCAGGCCAGAGGATGTATATCTCCAAGTGTCTGGCTGTGGTCATGTCCATCCCACATGCTGTACCTTTGAAGCATTTGTGGCCCAAGGATAAGTCTGTGCTGGAAAAGGTACATCTCAGAGCATCTGTGGCTGTGGGATAAATCCATGCTGCAGCAGGTACACCTTGAAGCATCAGTGGCCA